GGCCCTCGCCCGCACCCAGTCGTCCCCCGCCAGCGTCAAGCCCCCTGTGCCCGAGGGGCCCCCCAAGCACCTCTTCACCACAGGTACAGGGGCAACGGGGGGCGGGGTCCCTCTGTCCCCTGAGGTCCCTCTGTCCCTTGGGGTCCCACAACCCTCAGGGTGCTCCTGTCCCATGAGGTGTCACCTGTCCCATGGGATCCCCCTGGCCCTGTGTCCCATGGGTGCCCCATCCCTTGGTAGACCCCTACCCCAAGTGTCCCATTCCTTGATGCGGTTGGGGGTGACCCTGTCCAATGGGGTTCCCAGTCTCTCAGGGTGTTTGGGGTCCCCCTATCCCCAGGGGATGGGGATGTTCCCCACCCTTCGGGGTGCCTGTGTGCCATGGGCCCCTCTCCCAGATGGTTTCCCATCCCTCAAGGTGTCTGGGATTCTCCCTGTCCCCTGGGGTTCCTAATACCTCAGGGTGCCCAGGTGTCCCTATATCCCATGGAATCCTCCTGTTCTGGGGTTCCCAATTGCTTGGGGTACCCGTGGGCTTTCCCTGTCCCTTGGGGTTCCTATTCCCTTGGGTTGCCCAGGGATCCTCCTATTCCACAGATTCCCCCTGTCCCTTGGGGTTCCCAATTGCTCAGGGTGCCCAAGGGCCCCCATATCCTATGGGATCCCCCTTATTCCATAGGTTCCCTCTGCCCTTTGGGGTTCCCAATCCCTTCGGGTGCCCAGGGTTTCCCTGTTCTACAGATTCCCTGTCCCTTGGGATTCCTAATTGCTCAGAGTGCCTAGGGGTCCTCCTATTCCACAGATTCTCCCTGTCCCCTGGGTTGCCCAATCCCTTGGGGTGCCCAGGGTTCCCCTATTCCACAGATTCCTCCTGTCGCCTGGGGTTCCCAATCCCTTGGGGTGCCCAGGGTTCCCCTATTCCACAGATTCCTCCTGTCGCCTGGGGTTCCCAATCCCTTGGGGTGCCCAGGGTTCCCGTATTCCATGGGCTTCCCCTGTCCCCTGGGTTGCCCAATCCCTTGGCGTGCCCAGGAGTCCTTCTGTTCCACAGATTCCCTGTCCCTTGGGATTCCCAGTTGCTCAGGGTGCTCAGGGGTCCTCCTATTCCACAGATTCCCCCCGTTCCCTGGGGTTCCCAGTCCCCCGGGGTGCCCAGGGGACCCCCAATCCCATGGGATCCCTCCATCCCCTGGGGTGCCCATGTCCCTCAGTGCCCCAGCCCTGGGGGGGTGCCAGGGTCCAGTGCCAGGTGTGCTGCTGGCACAGGTGTGGTGTACGACACGTTCATGCTGAAGCACCAGTGCACCTGCGGGAACACCACAATCCACCCGGAGCACGCCGGCCGCATCCAGAGCATCTGGTCCCGGCTCCAGGAGACCGGCCTGCTTGGAAAGTGTGAGGTGAGGGGAGCACCCCGTGTCCTGGGGGGGAGCTGGGGTTGGCTTGGGGAGAGGGGGGCTCACCCCTGTGCCCCCTTTGCCAGCGGATCCGGGGCAGGAAGGCGACGCTGGAGGAGATCCAGACAGTGCACTCAGAGCACCATGCACTGCTCTATGGCACCAGCCCCCTCAACCGTCAGAAACTGGACAGCAAGAAGCTGCTGGGTGGGTGTTGGGGGGGCCCTGGATGCCTGGGACCCCCCTCTTTTGGAGCTGGGGTCACCCTGTACCCCCTATTCCTTTGGATCTGTTCCCTGGGGTGCCCTGTCCCTTTAGATGTCCAGGAGAGCCCGTGTCCTCTGGGGTGTCCTTATGCCATGGGATGCCCCAACCCTTAGGTGTCCCAGGAGTCCCCAGTCCCATGGGATTCTTCTGTCCCTTGGGGTTCCCAATCCTTTGGAGTGGCTGGAGTTCCCCTCATCCTATGGGTTTCTCTTGTTCCCTGGGGTTTTCAGTCCTTCTGGGGAGCTCAGAGGTCCCCGTATCCCATGGGATCCCCCTGTCCTATGGGGTTCCCAATCATTTGGGGTGCTCAGAGGTCCCCCTGTCCCATAGGATCCCCAGGAGTCCCCCTATCCCATGGGATCCCTCTGTCCTCTGGGGTTCCCCATTGTTTGGGGTGCTCAGAGGTCCCACTAACCCATGGAATTCTCCTGTCCCCTGGGGTTCCTAATGCTTTGGGCTGCCCATGGGATTCCTCAGTGCCATGGGATCCCCCAGTCCCATGAGATCCCTCTGTTCCCTGGGGTTCCCAATCCTTTGGAGTGCCCAGGGGTCCCCCTGTCCCATGGGATCTTCCCATCCTCTGGGGTTCCCAATCCTTTGGGGTTCTCAGGGGTCCCTCTATCCCATGGAATGCTCCTGTCCCCGGGGATTTCTAATTCTTTGGACTGCCCGTGGGATTCCTCATTGCCATGGGATCCCCTAGTCCCATGAGATCCCTCTGTCCCATGGGGTTCCCAGTCCTTTGGGGTGCCCAGGGGTGCCCCTATCCCATGGGATATCCCTGTCCCCTCCAGTTCCCAATCCTTTGAGGTGCCCAGGGGTGCCTCTATCCCCTGGGATACCCCTATACCCGCTGTCCCCACCACACCGCTCCACCCCTC